CCCTTTTGCAATAGGACAATTTGCTGAAGAAACTAATTGAAAATGAATTAAAGTTTGATTTATCAGATGAAGCCAAAGTCTAAAGAATTGAGTTAATTTTTTAAAATGTCATTATTCATTTCAAGTATTCAATGTCCAGATCACCTCCTCACTGCCCAAATGACTTTAAGTGAATGCCAATTTATTCAATAGTCTTTGAGATGAAAAGGAGATTTTTACTGCTGAAAAGGCTAGAAACTGATGTGTGTTAATATTGATGTGGTGAAAAATACATCAGTATATGTTTTTATAATAATGGGGCAAAAAAATCTGCTTTAAAACCACATGCTTATGTTATTTAATATGAATGTTTTTTGGACTTACCTATCTGTGGGATGTTTCCATATTATTACATAGTAACATTTATAATGGATTAAATAATGACACCTAAAGAGCCCACTTTCTGATACCCAGGATTTATTAAATATGTCCTTACTGATATGGGGTACATTGCAGACAGTTCAGGTTTTGGGGATATGGAAGTCACACTTAATTAACTGGCTAGGCCCAATCTAATCACAGGAGTCCCCCAGAGTGGAGATGTTCAGAAGTGGAGAGAAGACAGAAGATAGGACGAGATTTGAAGCTGTTGTATTCTTTCTGTCTCTGAGGGTAGAGGAAGAGACCACAAGCCAAATCAGACTGGAGAAATAGGTGAAAATGAATTCTCTGTGATCAACAGCAAAGTAAATAAATTGCTTTTCTCACACTTAGGGCCTGGAAAATAAAATTCAAATCTTTAAATTCCCAGTTGCCGAAATGAATAACAATAATTACAGGAAGCCAGATACATAATGGTCATTCTAATTACCATGTTTTTGCTTTTGCAATATAATTAGTCTTATGCTATTATTATTATTATTATTATTATTTTTTGAAAAGTGTGAAGGAAGGACTTTCCCAGCTGGTTTCAGGCCTAGCGTATTCTGAGGATAATTACATCTTCCAAGCAACAATGTCCAGAATCTGAGAAAAGGAGGGCTAAATGCTGAGTTTCTTGCACTGAAAAGGGAATCCGATGACAGGTTTGCTGAAGTTGGCTCTCAAGGCCTTTGTCAGCTACTGAGCCAGTGGAGGAAAAAATAAACTCTGCTCTGTTTTTGTCATTGGCAAGGATGACTGGCCATGCTGGCAGATGTGCCTTCCCACGTGTGTGCTACACTTACTCAACCTTGGTCCAGGTTAAAGCTAATACTGGGGGCAATGACACCCTAAGTAGTTATTAAGCACGAGGCTATGGATTCCTCTACCAAGATTACCCATCCTTCATTGTCAGCTAGAGTTTATGGTTGGTCTCAATATTGTTCTAAACTAAATACATAAAGAGCCACTACTGTCTCAGTCAGATCATTGACAAGACTACAGAGAGGCAATGAAGGGGCTTGCTGTAGTATAACTCTGACCATAAAGGAATGGCAATAGCCCACTTTTATTAAGTAAGAAGCCAATTGCACAGTATGACACTATGAGACATCCTTTCTGATCACAGTCTGAGGGCAATTAGGATCGGTTGCAAGCTCTAGGAGGGGTCTTACTTGCCTTTTTTAAAAACTGTGTACTGTGATTGCATTTACTATTTGCTAGATGCATATAGGGCTTTGAGATAAGGCCCCATGGCAGCAGTTTCTGGAAGCTAATTAAGTATTGCATAGAAAATTATATCCCTTTATCTGCCTTAAATTTGTTGCCCATTAATTTGGAGCAGCCCCTGTTTCTGATGTGATGGGATAGTGCAATTAGACATAATTTATAGCTCACTTCTGTACCGTTTATTGCTTTATGGTTTGGGAAGGATACTGCTTCCATTTGTTAATGAGGTCCCCTCCTGAAGCCAGGGGATAACAAGATGAAAATGTTTTTTCATTTGTTCTGTGCTTCAGTGACAGCAGAATCAAAGCCTTCATTAGATTCCCCTCATTATCTTCATAGTATTCTTGGCATGCAAAGGGCAGAGGTCCATAGGTCTTCTTGACAAGTCATGATTCTCTCTAACAGAGAAGTCTCCTTGCCTGACCATTGTGATCAAGCCAGCCCCTTAGAACCCGGGTTTACATAGGTTGTTCTGTACCATCTCTCTTCTCAAGACTTGGCTCTCTTATATTCTTAAGCTTGGAGTCCCCTTTTCAACAGAGAATTTGGAAACCAGGTGAAAGATGTGATAAAGGTAGAGAGAGCAGCTCTCTGTGGGGGATATTCTCCTTGTTTTAAAAAGAAACATCTTCAGAAGCTTCTAGACCATCTCTAATTCAGAACTCCCATTAAAATGCATTAACTTTCAAATGGCTGCAAAAGTACTAAGACTGCCTTAACCTAATTGTGATTCTTCATTTGGATCCGGTACATTACCGTTGGACAAGATAGAGGTCCTCATCTCACAGAAGGATGGGAAGAGATTCTGATGGATGGGTATCTATAATTAGTGGCTATGGTTACTTCCTTCTCATGGTTTCTTTGCAATATCCTGCAGCCTCTTTGTCCTCTATGTTGTCATAGTTTCTTATCCAGGAGTCTAGCTATCAGGATCCCTGAAGGTTTTGTTTTCCCTCTGTTTGCCTCTGCTCAAGTGAAGTAGTATTCTACATAAAAATAAAGGGAATCTTTTCCCAGAATACTGTGATATATCCATGTTCCTAAGAGTCTGCGTTCAAACAGCCCTTGCCACAATGTCTGCTGCTCATTTCTCCATGGATGCTTATCCAGGTCCTGGAGTTGGCATTCAGAGTAGACCCCAGTGCCTTCTCAGACCACCCTCCTGGCAGGAGTTGCTTCACTTACACAAATGCCATTTTAGGTGCCATGGAGCAAGGTGCAACTTGGACAGTAGGTATCCACAAAGCACGACTAGAGCTGAAGTTGTGGTTTTGAAGAGAGAAGACTTTATTTAAGGTTAATAAGATAGAAGACTATTTCAAGAATATTTTACTTGAGGAAAAACATTCAAATCACTTTTTTTTTTTTTGTGGTGCGGGGGTATGGGGAAAGACAAGCTAGTTTGTTTCAGGCAATAAATTTGGAATGTAATTGAAAAAGGCCCCAGGAAAACCATCTAGCTGTGGAAACTGGTCAGGTCGATCAGGATAAGACACTCTTCTTATTTGAACCATGTTTCAGGTGCTATGAGGAAAATTAGGCAGACAAAACACAATTGCGATGATGGGCAAACTAATCAGAATTATCAAATATGAACTGCATATCTGTGGAACTTCTCAAGGGCAGGTGGAAGCGAAGGTAAACAAACACACAGGAAAAAATAAATGTGTTACTGGAATCATACCTTGCCACCAATATGTTTGCTGATAACATGAATGTGTGGACTGAATTATCAGTGTCAAAGAGTCTTGATTGAAGATAACAGCTTAGATCTCCCATATTTCTAGTCTCACCCTCCCCTAGCCATAGAACATCCCAGTGTTATTACAGCCCTGCTACTTTGGGGATGCTGCATGTTTTGGGGGGCATTTGACTGTTGATTGTAGTGCTATTAAGTCACTGAATTTGTTCCATTTGGAATGGAAATGAAGCAGTGTGATGTGGTATCTGTGACCTAGAAAGACACCCACTGATCCTGACAGGCATAACGAGTGAATTAGACTTCATAGGCAAATATTGAGCACAAGCCTGCTCAAGTGTCTTAAGCTAATCAGAGTTTCTGTAAGTCAGGAGCACAAACAAAATGAAGGATGAAGTGGAATTGGGAATGATAGTCTGATATACGAAAACCAAGTGTAAGTATAGGAGTTAGCTAAAATAAAGAGGTTGTATTTCATTGTATGCATGCATGAAATTCTCAAGAATAAATGATTATATTAAAATATGCTAAACTATGTGGTGGCTTTAACAATATACAAGCTTATTTGTGGGTCATATTTTAGATTGCAGAGGGCAGGACCTTAAAAGAAGAGGCCTTTCTTATAACCAAAGTACATATTTTCTCTATCTGTTGATTTCTTATACAGAATCATGCATTATTTGCTTATATGTGTAGATGTATGTACAGATGCACATGAACGTGTGTACATGCATACAGAAGCCAGAGGTCAACCTCACATGTCTACCTTGTTTTTTGAAAGATTGTCTTTCAGTGACCCTGAAGTTTCCTGGGTAGGCTAGACTGGCTGGCCAGAGATCACTTGTCTCTGCCTTGCTAGTGAGGGATTATGGATATCAGCTGCAATGCCTGACTTTTTATGAAGGTGTTTGGAATCCACATGCAGGCTCTCCTTGCATAGCAAGCAGTTGTTTGCTTAAGCCATCTCCTCAACCCTACTCTTTCTTTACTGTGTCTGGTTTATTCCATATATCATGTTTTAAAGGTTCATCCTTATTATAATAGATATCAGACTGTACACTTTAATGTTTTCACTCTGTTTATAGACATATGGGCTTTCCCCATATTTTGGCTAAAGTGAATATGTTAGAAATATTGGCTCATCTGAGTTCCTGCTGTCAGTTCTCTTGGGGTGTTTACCTAGGAGAGGAATTGCTAGGTTATATGATAATTCTATATTTAACTTTTTGAGGAATTACCAAATAGATTTGCTCAGTGGCTGTATCATTTTATTAATACTTTCCATTTAGCAATGAGGAAACCTCTTTTATTGTCCAGATTAAAAAATATAGCAATTGCAGTATATATGAAGGAATCTGCTATAGTTTTGATACGTATTTTCCTAATAACCAGTGCTGGGCATATTCTCCTGTACTTATTGATCAGATATGTGTCTGGAGATGTTTCTATATAACTCTTATTTAAAATTGACTCACCAGTTTTTTATTGTTGATGAATATGGCTTCATTTATTTCTTCTGGATTTTAAGCTATTTTAAGTTTTTTTTTTTTTTAAAAAAACTTTGTTGATGTTATTCTTGATGTACAAAAGTTTGTAATTATTCTAGGCATATTATCAAGCTGCCTTATAATTACTGGCATTTATAACCAGAGATGGTTCGTTCTTTTTGCAGTGGACTGTGGTTAATTCAGTGACTCACGACATGCCAAGTCCAGCAAACGAGCGGCTGTGGAGGACTCTGGTCTAAGTGAGACATCTATATCACACACCTTGTTCCCTCCTCACAGCTCAAGGGCCTGCCTTCATGGAAGAGGAGAAAGAAAGGTCATAAGAGCCAGAGGTAGGGGAGGACTGCTGTGGAATAGCGTCTTTGGATACGACACAGCTGATGCACTCATGAACTCTGAGCAGCGGGGGTTGCTTGTACAAGACCTGGACAAGATTGGACCCATCACCATTCCACCACGGAAGAGGGAAGGAGTCTTGAGACCCCACCCCTCTCTGAGGGACTATTGACAGTAAATCCAGGGAAGATGGGTCCTTTCTTGAGTGATGTAATCACTGACAAATTGCCCATTATCTCATATATAACCACCACACACGCTCGTACAGTCAACCCTATTTAAACTCAATGGATCACTACATACACAAAAAAGACGTGAAAGGAGGAGGAGGCCTTAGGAAAACCAAAAGGTTTCAGGGTGAGAGGCAAGACAGATGAGGTAGGGTAGTCAGAGGAGGGTACGAAAGACTAAAATCTACTATACACATGAATGAAACTGTCAAAGAATGAAATTTCAATTATGATCTCCAGTTTATTTATTTCGCTGTTGTTACTCAGTATTCTATATGGAGGGCCACACTTGTCCTTGAGTTAGGCACTGAAGTTTATCATATATAACTGCCCTCCTATACAAAGAGGCCATTTTGGTTTACTTGCAAGGCGTTTTACTTGCATGAAATATCAAGATAAAATAATCTTTTGCTGGTAATTGTCATGCAGAGTCACATGCTCCTTCCAACTTTAATTGAAACCAAAGGATTAAGGTCTAGAGCTCCTGGTAGGTATCTTGTGCTACATGTAGAGAACCAGCCCATAAGCAGAGAAGCCTTAGAAGATGGAGAATCAAAAACTTCAAAGAGAAGACTGGTCAGCAAACATTTTTTAAGGTTGTAAGTGGAAGTCGGAAGCTCATCCTGTTTTTGAACTTCAGTCAATAAATCTCCTTTTTGCTTAAGCCAAATTGGGTTGGTTTGGCAGTCTTGTAAAACCTAAAGATCCCTTTGTTCACAACTACTTATCTGTCTGCTACGTGTGTGTTTGTGTGTGTGTGTGTGTGTGTGTGTGTGCGTACACGCGCGCGCATGAGTGCACACGCACACATACATGATATGAGGTTGAATGTAGGGCCTCATACACCAAATTGCACATTGGGTCTCTTGTATCTGAGATGCATACATTCTTACTTTGGAACTGGAAAACACTGCAGGGGAAGTAACTCTCCCCAAGGTCACAGAGCATCTTCCCTAAAGCACTGGAATCTAACTTTGGGAGTTCAGTTCTTATATAGAAGCATCACTGTGTTTCATAAACAAAAAGGCTAATGGTATCTTTTTAGGCTTGTTCAGACCTGAACACTCTAATATTCAAGAAAGAAACCTAAATATTTAGGTAAATTTGTTCACATGCTCACCCTGCTGAGCTGTGGATGGACTGGAAGATGGCTGTACCCACCGTTGATGTCCTATAAGATCTGCAAATTATTCTTCACAGAGGAAATTAAACTTGGCTAAAAGAAAGCTTTAGGCAGTTCTAAGATATTGAATAGTTCCTTTTCTCTTCTTCTTTAACATCTCAAGTTCACGAACTCATTTTCTTTGGCTCACATTTCATCATCTCCCTAACAGATGGGGTTATTACCCACATCCTGGCTAGGATAGCAATGTAAGACTGCTACTTTATCTTGGACAGTTTCTTTTTCCTGCAGGCTGCATTCAACTGGCGCATGCACGCACGCACGCACGCACGCACGCACGATTAATGGAAAAGATGACTTCTCACACTGCCGTGGCTCAGTCTCCATTCTGTTCTTTGTTCCTCTTACCTTCCCTCCCTCCCTCTCCTTCCCTTTTTTTCCTTTGTCAGAAAAAGTTCCTTCATTTCTATTTCATATGTGTTGTGACTACATGCATGTAAGTGTGCCATGTGCATGCCTGCAGAGGCTGGAAAAGGAGATGCAGATGGGTGTGAGACATCAAGTGGATGCTGGGACCAAACCTAGGTCTTCTGCAAGAGCTACAAGTACTTTCAACTGATGGGTCATCTGTCCAGCTCCTTTCCTTCCTTTTTGTAAAGAAAATTCACTTCAGACTCCTTCACTCCTACCTCCTTCTAACAGGGAAGGGTTTTGACTCATCACTGGCTTTTGGAAAGCTCAGTGTCAATAGTGGCCATCTTTCTAGTGGTAGCTAGAAGAAGTTTCTTTGAATTTTACAAAGCAGATTCCATTCTTTGCTTGAAGTTAAAAAAATAAGAAAAATGAAATTGAATTCCTACAGAGGCTGAATTTATAGATAGGAGAAGCAAAATTAAAATGTTTACTTGAATAATAGGCTATCAAAAAGTTTGCTGCAAAATACACAATGATTCTTGACAGCACTGGTGGAATCTGAACCAACACCTTAATGATCCTGTTCCTCTGGCTGCATCAGCCAGAGATGCATGCAGAAGCTGGAAGTTCCTGAAAGCAACCTCCATAGGTGGTTATCATGCTTTGCAAATGTAAGGATTCCTAGAGATATGGCATTATTGGAGTCTGTTTCTGTAGGCTCAGGTGAGACTGGAGATTACATATTTTTAAGAAGCACTCTGAGTAAGACTGTTAACAAGTCTTCAACTAGATGCTCAACTGGATTTTTTTAAAACTTTAATTCTAGTATTTTCTCAATTAAAATGTAATCATATGTTTTATCTTCTCTTTCCTACTTCCAACTGGTCACATGTTCACTTCTCCTCCTCAATTCATGACCTCTTTTCTTTTTTTGTTTTATATAATATTTAAATGTTTATACATATACATATATATATCTGTTGAGTCCATTTAGTGCTGACTCCATTTAGTGTTTTATATATATATATGTTCTTTTCCAGGTAATCAGAGAAAAGAGTTTTCAGGAAGTGCCTTGCATGCCCATTCAGACTATTTTGTCAAATAATGTTAAATCTTATCCCATTTGGTCATTACCACACTAGGATTTTAGGAAAATAACTGCTTATATCTATGAAATCAGATTGAGCCTTCTTCTTTGACAAAGCTTTATACAAGCAGGAGGAGAGAACATTTGGGGAAATGGAATAGTTTCATACTAAACTAGTTGTATTATGCATTCATGTTCAATACAAAATATTTTTGTATCCCCTTGTGCTTGGGTGATGAGTGATACCACCCATACAAATCAGCAAAGCTTTATATTTAACATAAAATAGTTTAAGTCCTCAAGGGGAATCCAGTTTACAATTAAAATGTCCTGGGCAGCAGATCTTTCATTAAAACACAAAGTGAAACCTAACTCACACCATTTAAATATCTTCATTCATTACTACATCATGCACCATCTGGGGTTGTTTCGTGCCTCTCAGTTTCTTATCAGCAGGGGAGAGATAGGCATTGACTTCTTCCAGAACTCACTATGTTTTACCCAGTGCAGATGCACACTGCCACCTTAATTACTAATGGGAGCCTCTGACCAAGTGTTAATGCTGGAACATGCCCTTCATCGGGGTTTTAAAAATGACTGAAATCTCAAGTTCCTACTGAGGTTTACTTTCCTTTTTAATGACATTGCATTTTATGATTAGAACTTAAAATTAAACACTTTTTACTTAGCTGTTAATAATACTGCTCCCCCCAGGTACTAGCTTTCATGTGCCACGCCCTATAATAGCATGACTTCTCTCAACTTCTCCACAGCCCTTTCAGCTGGATACCCTCCTACTCTCTCAGATGCACCTAGTTGTGTTATTCTCAGGTTCCTTCCTTCCTTCCTTCCTTCCTTCCTTCCTTCCTTCCTTCCTTCCTTCCTTCCTTCCTTCCTTCCAGGATCAGATCTTTCTCTCTCTCCCTCCCTCCCTTCTTTTCTTTTTTTTAAATTGATTTTTGCAGTTCTTATGAAGGCTGTCTGAATTGATGCTTCTGCAGGGAGAGCAGCTCTGGAGTCATCTTTCTGATATCCTATCAGACATTCTTTTTTTTGGGGGGGTTTTTCAAGACAGGGTTTCTCTGTGTAGCTTTGCGCCTTTACTAGAACTCACTTGGTAGCCCAGGCTGGCCTTGAACTCACAGAGATCCGCCTGCCTCTGCCTCTCAAGTGCTGGGATTAAAGGTGTGCGCCACCACCGCCCGGTGAGACATTCTTAAATAAATGACCAGTTTATGGGAATGCAATGAATATAAAAGTTTCCTTAATGTCTGTGTATGCATGTCTCTCTGTGTGAGTGGTGTATGTATATATATACACACACCATATATATATATATATATATGTGTGTGTGTGTGTGTGTGTGTGTGTGTGTGTGTGTGTGTGTGTGTGATGTATTTGTGTATCTGGACAGACTGACTTCAGTTTTCTCCCTTGAGCACTCGCTACCTCATTACTGCTTTGAGACAGGCTCTCTCGTTGAACCTGGAGCTCATTGCTTTGGCTATACTGGCTGCTCAGTGAGTCCTTAGGATCCACCTGTCTATCTGCTCTCCTCTGGGCTGGGGTTATGAGCATGTACTCCACCATGCCAGGTTTCTTTGTGGGTTCTGGGATGTAACTCAGGTCAAACCAAGAATGAGGGCTAAAGCTTTTTAAAATATTCCATTAAAGCCTCCACCCACAGTGATTTTCCACTTCTTCAGCTTTTTTAAGTTGTAAGAGTTTGGAAACTAAAGAGTTTAACATCTAATGCTGAAGCCTTCGGTAAAGCAAAGTCATTTTTCTGTGTTCTGAGGATCAAAGCCAGGGCAGTGCACGTGTTAAGCAAGTTCTCTACCACTATGGTACATACTGAGAAAAAACAAGCCACATTCTTTTTCCTGCCTCTTGCTGCCCCTCTGCCAGCTCAGTGACAAGTTATTATTTTATCTTCCTCATTATCTTTTCCATATTACCGATTATAAGTAGCTTCTTGATTTGTGTCAGCTCCATTAATCCACCATTTGACTAATCTGTAATGACGACGAGCAATAGATTTCTTGGGTGACCCTACACCTCTACATTCACTGTGGAACGGATCTGTTAACAAAGACTCGTGCCCCCCACCCTATCCCCCCAAATAGATGGAGTCTCTCATTTGCATGCATACTGCATCCAGAAGAGAATTGGGACTTCAGTATAAACAAACAAAAAATGTTTACAATGCCTTAAACAAAAGCCAGACACCAACATCTGACAAAAGGAATTAGATCAGAGATATTCTGTATCTATGATCGACAGGGAAGGCTACCACAAATACTGCACTAGCACTCAAAGGTGTGCCAAGCTGTGGTGGGGTGAGGTGCTCTGGAAGGGGCTTCTGTGAATGTCGAAAGGGTGCCTGGCCCAGAGCTATTAAGAGGTAGCAACTAGCCTCTAGATGTACACACTTCTGCTTGAGTTCAAAACTCTGCCATCTTGGATGTGGCAGCTAGAGGTGGGGTTCAAGAAGCGAAGCAAGACGAGGAGAGGGTGGGAGAGGGAAGAGATAGGATGTCTCGGCAGGAGATGACTTTTTTTTTAAACTATCTTTCTTTATCATAGAGGTCATAGAGTTAAGAACTGGTGTGCTAATTTACATTAAATAAATACAATAAAGTTAATTTACATACAGAATATCTAAATGCATGTTTGATGTTAATGAATGATATTTTTAATAAGCAAAATCACAAAAGTCCCTAGATCTGTGTATATTTTACTACTCTATATGACTTGAGAGCTAGGTGGAATGACAGGCAACCTTTCAGGCTGTTCTCAGCAGCTTCTGCCCTTTATGCAGGATATCTCCTTCTCCCGGATCAAATTTTCCCTCC